TTAATATCTTATTCCAGAAAAAACACATGATAAAAAAAAACGTTTTCTCTAAATTCGGGAATTAATTTCATAGTGCTTCGAAGCGGTTACCCATCCGGTTGCATACCGCCACCCAATGTGCTTGACTTCTAAAATCGTATGGAAACCGTTATACTTCGATGATCCACGAACACTCATATAACCATGGATGTATAGCTACTGTATGATACATCTGGTCAACATGGTCCTAATAGAAATTTGTGCAGAAAAAAACGTTGTTCTGCCCGAAGCGAGATATTAGTCTTATAAATTATATAATGATTGTTCAGGTTAGGAAATCATACGCTCTACTCTCACAATACCAAAGAAATTCAATTTGTCTTCGAGGTCTCCACAGTTTCTTTCCTGTCGATGATAGTACGTCGTATTAATACGGTACTGCATGTACCATGATGTACATACCTAAACAGTATGCAGTACAGATATAGGTACAATGTTGATACGATGTACCATAATATCATGTATACTTTTTGTTATACATTCTGTTACTGTACAGTTATAGGCCCGTATTCATAGTCAGACCTTGTACTTAAGGCTTCCTTAAATTTATCTTTAGATGCTCAGTAGCCAATGAAATAATTCGTAGAGCATCTGAAGATAAATTTAAGGAAGCCTTAAATATAAGGCCTGACTATGAATACGGGCAATAAAGTCACTAAATCTATAAAGTACCGCAATTGATTTCAAAATGAAGCATCAAAATGGCCGAAGTGCACATAGTACACGATTTCAAGCATGGTGATTGGTGGTTCATCTTTTAAACTGTACTTACATGTCCCTTCGTGCACTTTCATGCACTAAACTTCTATAGCAAATATAAATCCGTATTAAACTAAAGAATACATAAATTAAGCATTCGTACATATTCTTTTGGTCATAAATAAACTAATTACAATTCAAAAACATTAATTTACATACTTGATGGCTTCATTTTCACAAATAAAGTATGTATATACAAATGCATAAATTTGAAATGGTCGCGTTAAGCATCAAAATGGATGCGAGTTTACGGTACTTTATAGATCTAGTGACTTTATACAGTTACGCCGTACACCGCCATCTCGTAGCAGTACCGTAACAATACGATAGTGGTATTTTGTGCGAGTTGGTTATCTGGGGAGTTTTAAATGCATATACACCGGTAAACACGTCTACTAAACTAATAAATCATAAAATTAGTACAATATTATCAGTTTTTTTACTCTTAATCACTTCAATATTAACAAGGACGCGAACTCCTGAAAGGATGTCGGTCTTTAATAATATCTCGTCGGTGGCTTCTCTCTCGCTATAGATTTTATAATTGATAACACGCAATAATCAATAATACGTTGTAATAGATGGCGCCACTGATACGGTTTTTTTTTCGATTGTTGAATTCGATTTGTTGCGCATGCGTTTCGATCGGCTTCTCCGGGTTTCTCCCCTAGACAAATCTTTTCGATTTATTGTTTTCTTTCGGTAGCTTTGCTAAAATATGAGGCAGTGATGGAGAATCGTTCAATATCTAAGAAGAGGAAGGTTAGCGATCTTCAGAGTTTATCATGTGCAATACGCAAAAATATTTTCATTGTTTCAATGCGGGAAGCTTCTGCGGCGATATTTCGCTGAAAATTGGATGAACGCGGAGACCGCGATCCGCGGATGTCATGGATTCCAGCGTCGTTCTCGCGTGGATTTTGCAACTCCACGTGTTCTTTTTCAGAATTACTTAAAATGTATATATTTCTATTAGATGGAATTCGGTATTGTGATTTTTCTTTGTAATATTCTGAAATTACATATTTGACGTTTGTATTATATTTATTTCGAGTATAATCTATAAAATAAATTATAAACTTCCATTAATTAATTTTTATTTTATTTACTTCGCAATTTGTATCTAATAAGTAATATATAGCTCACTTTTCTTCCGTTACAAACTTTTATGATACAATTCTCTTATATATAATAGATTATAGTCTATAGATAAATTATATACTATTTAAGATAAAGAATAGATTTTGTGTTTTATATATATATATTTCAGATTTTTCTTTTATTTTCAGTTTGTTGGCGATGGTGTCTTCAGAGCCGAGTTGAATGAGTTCTTAACTCGTGAGCTCGCCGAAGATGGTTATTCAGGTGTGGAGGTCCGAGTGACACCAAATCGAACTGAGATTATTTTATTGGCCACCCACACACAGAGCGTACTCGGCGAAAAAGGCCGTAGAATCAGGGAACTGACGTCTGTGGTACAGAAGCGTTTCAACTTCAAAGAACCTCAAAATGTTGAGTTGTATGCAGAGAAAGTGGCCACACGTGGTCTGTGTGCCATTGCACAGGCAGAGTCTCTTCGTTATAAGCTGATTGGAGGTCTCGCTGTACGAAGGCAAGTCAGAGTTTTATCTGCTTTTCATTTATCTTATTACTCCTAATTACATCTATTTATTTTGTTACTTCTAATCATATCTTTTGTAATTTTCATTAAATATTTTATTATGCTCAGGGCATGCTATGGTGTTCTGCGTTTTATTATGGAATCTGGCGCAAAAGGCTGCGAGGTCGTCGTCAGTGGCAAATTACGTGGTCAAAGAGCAAAATCGATGAAGTTTGTTGATGGTCTTATGATCCACTCGGGTGAACCGACTAATGAGTATGTAAACACTGCCACCAGGCATGTACTCCTGCGGCAAGGTACGATTGCATTATCACGTCGATTGCTTTGACTAACAATGGTTTCCATCAAAGCATGCAATCAAATTTGAATTGATCGGTGGAAATGTGTTTGACTGTACTTTTACTTCCGTTTCAATCCACAGTTTCTACTTTCAATGGAAACAATCTTCTAAATTTAATCTGCATTGAATTGATGGTTTCAATGGAAAGTGGACCAATGTAGTAATGACCGCGTTCAGCAAAATGTTTATTTTGCAACTGTAGGAAGTTTTCTTCACTGAGATTGAACTATTCCTCTAGATGTAAAAGTATAGTACAATTAGCACGAAGAAAACTTCCTATTAATTGCAAAATAAATATTTTGCTGAATGTGTTCATAAAGACTTGATATTAGAATGTATATATTCAGAAATTCATTTTATGTTCAATTTATTTTATAAAGTCATTCATAGGTTTGTTTTCTGTTCCTGCACTGGGATTGCACTAGAACTGAACTGAACTGAACTAGTGCAAGCCAGAACTGACGAATGTAAGAGTGCAGGCAAGGAATAGAAAACGTACTAGTACAAGAAAAATGACGTTTCAGTTCTGAATAGTGCAAACTTCTTTCTTTCTTGTGAGAATCGAGTAATAAGACAGTAAGTATATGGACAAGACTATTCTTAACCTAAACGACTTTATAATATCTATATTTTAATACATAGCATTAAAAATGCAGATATACAAGTGAAAACCGTCACAATTTATTAGTTAAAAATCATAACTATTGAGCATACTAATGCATAATAATTAATAATATAATATTATACATTTTTATAAGCAATAATTTCTGTATAGAAATTATTATTTATAAAAATATGTAGTACTTTATTATTAATTATTACGTATTAGTATGACTTTCTAACCTTACAAATTTGATGCTCAGTAATTACGATTTTTAACTAATATCTAATTATGATGATTGCTTGTGAATCTTTAATGCTACGTATTGAAATAGTACATATTAAAGTCTTTTAGTTGAGAGAAGTTATTATTTTCACATATACTTACCGTTTTATTTAGCCGTGGACTTGCGCACTATTTGTATGTATGTACGACGATATCTGTGATATCTATTTTCTGTGGCTGAATAGTATACACCAGTGTATGTACACTAGTGTACTTGTACTGCTTGCACTAGTTTCAGACCTAGTGCAGCCAGTTCAGTGAACTCGTGCACTGAGTTCTGTTGCACTGGAACAAAAAACAGCGTCGCTGACGCCATTTTGGGAACAGAAAACGCTTTAGTGTACACTTTTTGAACTAGTGCGACCAGTGCAGGAACAGAAAACAAACCTCATGTGTTATATTTCATACTATATGTTATATGTTTGTAATATATTTTAGGCGTATTGGGAATCAAAGTCAAAATTATGTTACCGTGGGATCCCAATGGCAAGAGCGGCCCGAAGAAGCCTCTTCCTGATTATGTATCGATTGTGGAGCCGAAAGAAGAAGTTCCGCCATCAGTTCCAATCTCCGAGGTGAAACCTTCAAAAGACATACCTCAACCTACTCCTCTCGCCGTATAACAGTAATTTAAATGCATTTATATGCATTCAAAAAATAAATATAAAAAATAAGATCTGTGTCGTTTTATTTCCAACATTTTTTTCAACATACTAAAAAAAAGGATTCGTACTAGGTAAGAATATCTACTTTAGACAGATATCTTTACTTTTTATTTAAAAAGATTTATTAATATTTCACAATATATGCTACAGTATACCCGATAACTATTTTCATTTGTAAAACCATTCTGAATTATTTTTAAACATAAATATCCAAATATCTAATAGAAGATAAACAAATTTACATTAAAATAACAATTGATAAAATAAACATATGACATGTATTAAACTTATTCCAGAACTTATCCCAAAAAATGACGGTCAACCATTCCGTGTAATTCGGAAATATAAATTTTAATAACTTATGTACTAGGTATTATACACAACATTCCCTAATACCGCAAAACTGTGCGAAACCAATCAAAAAAGAGTTGACATTTAATCATTGAACTCCATTAATCAGTAAACTTCATTATGCACCATTATCTTACTAGTTACAAATTTATGGCTCAAAATTATATACTTAAATCATAAAGTTAGTGCATAATTATATTTTTATTTAGTAAAATTTAAGACTAAAAAATAGAATCCAAAATTTAGCGAAGTTATTAAAAGTTAGTAAATCTTTTAACTTGTAAATTTTATATTTATGATTAGTACAAAATCCTCACATTTTCACTTAACATTTAGTAGTAAATAAGCATAACTGTTAAAGTAAGAAATTGTTCATATACTTTGATTGTTTTCACAGATTTTTCAAATCATTTCAAATAATTCACATAACATTCACTATGAATTTTTATGTCTACACTCACTTTGCGCTAACACTAATTCATGAAAGTGTCGCTGAGTGGACCCTAGAACCCTAGGAGATCTGTCTTTGAGACAATATGAGAAATAATTGAATTTAATATCATAAATAATATGGATATTATTGACGCACTGGCGCCATTTGTTGGGTCAGAGAAAGCAGACCGTCGATCATTCTCCGAACGATGTCCGGCACGGCCGGCTTTTTCGACACTGAGCTCAGTCCGTTTCTGAGTTCGTAAAATACGTTACGTGTGAATGGATTTCTTTGAGATGCAAGACGTAGTTTCAAAAACTGATAATAAACAAAGGGGGTCAGTAAACCGGCGCGTCCTCTGTAAAAAAAAATATAAGAGATGTTTAAAAGTCGCAATACTATTTCTTGATTATAATTCATATCGCGTGGATTACGACACGATTATAGGTCTGTTCTTTGTGATTATACTAGTATGTACTTGTTGCATTTAAAATGAAATAGATATATTTAATAGAAATTTTAATGCAGCTCATTGAAGCAACAAAGAACATATCTAATCGTGCATGATACATACGTGAATACTAGGAGAACGGTAAATGGTAAGATGATGATTTCTGACAGAGCACACAGGCGAAGAATATTCCGTGATTGAAATTCCACCAAAGATATTAACAGACGAGCGCCCCACCAGCTATTATGTCCTAAGCACTGAGACAGAGAGATCACAAGTTCAACTTACATTCTTATTATGACTGTGCAGATAATCGTAAGGTATAATTTTTTTGCATATATATATATTGCATAATCATTCTGTTTACTTACATCTAGCAATGTAAGAGAGTAACTAGCCATGTGCATCAGAGCAAAAAGAAAAACTGGTATGAGCACCACTGCATACAAATCAGTTCAGGATTGAATTTTGTTATTATTAAAATAATTCGCTCTCTTATCTTAAAAGTGACAAAAAATTCAGGAAAGGGGAAAAACTATTTTTTAACTTAACAGAAAATTAATGACTAATCAAAATAGTATCGGCAAAAAGAATGTATTCTTAACACAATCAAATGTCATTTCTATCATTATCATTTTATGATCTTTAAAAAAAATCATCCTTTTTAAATCGTGACGATTTTTTTTTAAATATCCTTTTTTAGTTGTGCCAATTTTAATGATTTTTATGATATATTAAGTTAGGTATTGATGTCCGATATCGTAATTTTTTACTTAACTCATGGTAATAACATGGTAAAAACATGAAAATCATATTTTTTAGTTGTCACTTTTGAATTAAGAGAGCGATATGAAACATTTAAGAAATTGCTTGAACAGACTACATAAATATAAGAAGGATACATGTAACTGGCGCCGCGTACAAAAATATCAAAGAGTAGAACAAATAGTGGCACGAATCTTCCAACAGCAACGTCTCTAAAAATTGTCTTGAGAGCTGAACGCGGGGAACTCTTTGATGCAGACGTAACGCACTAGTTGCCGCATTATTCATTAATACCTTGTAGTATATATTATAGGGATTCCTGAAACAAAACCGTAATTTAACTCTTTGACGTTGAAGTAGATCTATTGGGTTTATTGAATCCATCTAATAGATCTCTTTGTAGAAAATATCAACCAATTCAATTTTTTATGTTACATTTGCACAAAAATTAGGATTATTCTTGTTAAAACATTCTTAATATTCATTCTCTTTTGTCATTTTCCTTAATTTCAAGTTCCTTGAAATTAATGCCTTTAAAGAATAAAAATCTAATTTTTAAATCTTACAGTTTTTTTTTTTAGTAAGATTTGTTATAATTCATTATTTTATTCTTCTTCTTCTTCTTATTATTATTATTATATCTATTGTAATGCACGACAAAGTTAAAAAATTAAGTGAAAAAAAGAATTATAAGAGAAATAAAAACGCAGTGCATATTATTTCATTGTATTTCATGCTTTAAAACATGACACTGTCTCAGTGCCACTATATAGTGACTTTCCCATCCTGTAGATCAACTAACGTATATTAATGGATTCCACAAACCTAGTGTTACTATGTTACAAATTTTGGCATCAGCTCCAAAAGGTTCTCAAACAGAACACAAGTCATTATCAAAATTACATCAAAATGACTTCAAAATAATCACTAAAAGTCACTTTTCAATCATTTATGTTTCATTTTAATGCCATTATTTGACATTATCAAGATTTGTTGTTCTGCTTGATTTACTCTGCAAACATAATAGAGTAGTAAGCCTTAAGTCTTAAGAAATTGATCAATCACAATTGAATGTGAGAAGAATAATCAACTATGATTGGTCAGTTCCTTAAGGCTTAAGACTTATTACTCTATTGTGTTTGCGGGCTTAAGGTACTTCATAAAAGCAGGTGTTGTTCTAGTTCTAAAGTTATGAAAGATGTAAGTACCCAAATATAGGAATAATGTAACCGAAGGTGAATATTATGGTGAAGAGTCTGGTGACCCATAATCCAAATTTAATCTTATTGTCTACAATATGCTGTTTCAAGGCTAGCCATCCCTTTTCGACTTGTGGCGACGAGTCGCTGGATCCACTGCTTGTGTTATCCACCATCCTGAAGCAAAAAAGAAACAATAAGAATCAACTATGAAAAAAATAATTACGTCACATGTATACAAAAACATGTTTGCACTAAAAACTTATTTCCTCTAAATTGATTATATACCTTGAAACAAGGTAATAATTATAATAATGAGCGAATTTATTGAAATATTTACAATTTTATTGATCAACATTTAGTAAATTTGCTCATTTTTGCAATTTTCATCTTGTTTCAAGATATACAATCAATCTCTAGACCAACGCAATTGACTTTCTCCTCTCTGTGGAAATATTAATAGAATTTAGGGTTGATAGTTGATTATGTATCTTGAAATAAGATGAAAATTACAAAAGTGAGCAAATTTACTGGAATTTATTGGAATATTTATATTTTCATTGATCAATACCTAAGAGTCAATTGTGTATTTTAAAAATTACAAAAGTGAGCGAATTCACTAGATGTTGATCAATATATAAAATTACAAATATTTTAGTAAATTTGCTTTTATAACTTTCATCTAGATTTCAAGATTGACTCTCTCAATGGAAATGTTAACAGAATTTTGGAAGAAACCTGTTTTTTAAATTTATTCAAATAAGTGTGGAAACTATGCAGATCTGTTATAGAATCATAAAAAAAAGATGCGCCTTTGCGTATCGTGAGCATCGCGCGTTTCTAAAGTGAAAGTGATCAGGCTTTCTGAGGGAAAGTTGCTTCTTTTTGACCGAGAAATGAACTCACGAGCCGTTAACGCGTAAATGTTAACGAGCGAGAATTTCGGTTCAGAATGGCCATGTCTGAACGATGTGTGTAAGCAGTTTTTCTCTCCGCACGTAGCGCGACATACACAGATCACACGATTTGATCAGGTAAATTACATCGTCATTCGGATGACACCGTTGTGTTCGTACCGTTCGTACCATCAAGGCTTGATCTAAATCAGGCGAGCCAAACTTTAATTACACTTACACGCTGCACGCTCCGCACGACGACGCACAGGATACTCCAGTGGTGATCTACACGTCAGTGACGACAGCAAACAATCGCACGAGCGGCACGAATCCACCTATTCGGAACATCTACGTGTCTAAACGAGCCGAGAACCCAACTTCCGACAGCCTCGTGAATATTGGCGAATGAATATCGTTTCCGTAAATCCCGTTCGCAGATGTCGCACAGTGTCTGCGACACGGTGCCATCTTGAGCCAAAATTAGCGACTTTCATCAGATTCGACAATTAACTCGACCGATGATTGACTTAGCTGGTAGAATTATTCATCAGCAAATAATTAACTTTTAAGGAGAGCTGGAGTGACGCGGCCGAACTTGATAGTACAGACTTTTTTTTTAATTCCAAATTCAATAATAGTGACATCTCTTTCATTCATTTCTTATATTTATTATATATCGCTGTGTCTCGCTCAAATGCATTCATCTGTCCTTATCTAACATATTGCAACTCCATTTTTTGGAAGAACATTTCGGAAGTTTTCAAACATCTACAACTAGACGCAATTATTGCTTTTTGTTTACCATTCCGAATCTTCGCTCAGCATTCGTATACACGTCATTTGCAGATTGACATAAATCTTATATGAAGCTTTTAATCTTTCATAACTAAGAGTTGAAAAATGTAAGTTTTTAATTTCTTTTTATTTTAGTAAAAAGTCTATTGCAGCACTACCAAATTTTGCGTCTACTTTATTCCTGTTGTGAAAGAATTTTTGGTTCCGTTCAGTAAATTCGGAGATTTATATCGATCTGCAAAGTCCCAACAATTTGACCACTCTAGCATCCTCTTAAGGGGATCTCTTAAAATCGTCTGTATTACTGATTAAATCATGATTTTTTTTATAATAAATACTTTTTTCTCTTTCACAGATTCGAAAATCCTTTTCTAGGATTAAAGTATACACATTAATACGTGTTTGTGAGATGGAATTTATGCCGAGAACGACAAAAAATTTCAAAATTGAAATCTTAAGAAAAATGTTTTATCGTTCTCGGCATAAACTCCACCTCACAAATACGTATTAATGTGTACACTTTAATCCTGGAAAAGGATTTTCGAATCTGTGAAAGAGAAAAAAAGTGTTATACAAAAATTATGGTTTAATCGGTGATACCACCGACGAGATACTATTAAAGACCGTTAACCCTGGGCAAATTTTCGGTGGTATAAAAAGGGCCCAAAGGGCCCGGAGG